ACAGGCCAGAAGAAACAGGCGGCAGACAGCGGGAGAAAACGCTAGATACACGACACAGGCGACTGGACGACCGATATCGCGTTTTACCGTGGCCAGAAGACTGCACGGTGGTGGTCTGTTTGCACGACGGCCTGTACGGTGTGTACCTTTAACGCCTGCCCATCGGAGAAGGCGTTGTCTGTGGTGCCGGGAACACTGGAATTGGAGAGACAATGAATGGGGACGAGTACTCTTTACAGATGGATGAGAGCAGATTCAGTTTGAGTAGCGATTCTCATCGCATACTTATCTGGAGAGAGCGGGGAAGCCGCAATCATCCCTCGAACATCATTGAAAGGGACAGGTATGGAGGTCGCGGTGTTCTCGTTTGGGGAGGCATCATGCTTGGTAGTCGTACAGACCTTCACATCTTCGACGCAGGTTCAGTCAACGGGACCCGTTATTGTAAACGAGATTCTTCTTCCATATGTGCGTCTTTTTAGAGGCGCTATGGGTCTGCAGTTCCTTTTCATGGACGACCATGCACCATGTCATCGCACAGTAGCTGCCGAACAGCTCTTAGAGAGTGAGGATATTGAAGGTATGGATTGGCCGGCACGATCTCCGGATCTCAATCCCATCGAGCATGTATGGGATTTTCTAGGCAGACGCTTGGCAGCTCGTACCTTACCACCAGTAACGATTCGGGAGCTTCGAGTGGCGCTGCAAGAGGAATGGGCAGCAATGCCTCAACAACTCCTTTACACCCTCATTCTCAGCATGGGCAGACGCTGTGAAACTTGCCTAGCAGTCAGGGGAGATCATATCCCTTACTAAAGACCGGATGTTTCTTGCTGGGCACCCATCACAGGGATGTTTCGGCGTTCAGTCGCATTGCGCTCCATGCTACTTTTTCAATCAAGGTTATTTTTATCCCTCTGATTTCTCTTTTAGTAAGTGTTGCTTACATATTACACATGTCCTTACGTATTGGGGATCTTACGGTATTAAATGTGTTGATTTGGAAAGCTTTTGTACAAAGTTATATTGAATAAACCGTCTCGTCCTTAATTTTTGCACACCAGTGTATATATATATATATATCTTGTTCAAATTTTCAATCGTTAATAAAATACTTTTTATTCATAAACTGAAGTTCAAATACATTTTTATAAATTTGTAATAGATGACACTTGATGTTGATACAGTTTTTCAAATATTAATTCATTAATTAAATTTAATTGTCTAAAATAATTTTTTTTTCTTTTTTGACCTAAGTAGGAATTGAAGTTAAAAATATTTTTTTATATTATTTGTTCAATTATATCCCAATGGATGAAATTGAAATGATATAAAGTTTGGTTTAATAAAATTTTAACATTCCAGAAAACTCCAGGTTTCCTTGCAAATTTCGATAAAATTATTCGTTATCTGAGTTTAATTTTTAGAGGTTTTGAATGTGGTTAAACAAGCAGTTACCCGTTGGCTTCGTTGGATATTTTATGACTTTGTACGACCACTTGTTGTTTAAGTTTTTGATATCTAAGTTCTAGCGTTAAGCTTTCGATTGTAAATACATAAAAACATTCCTCTATACCTAGTCTCTTGATTTAAAAAGGGTAGGACTTGAAATTCTAAAGCAACAGAAAATTAACTTTCACGTCTCTATCATCCTCTTCAGAGGTCTCAAAACCCATTCTTAGCGAATCATTACTAAACAAAAGGAATATGCCTGCCCAATTTCATATCAATAGCGTTAATAAATGTTGTAAGATTCGCCCTGCAATTTGAAAATTTTATAGGTGGCGCGGCCCTCGAAGGGGGAGAGAAAACGGAAAGAAGAAAAAGGTCAATGAAATGGCGAGAGAAAGAAATGCATAAAAAAGATGGTAGAATGAGCGAAAAACGATGTGGAGACCAAAAAATGGCGAAAGAATGGATGGACGGTGATTTCACGAGGATAGACGAGAGTAGTGCTAATTAATGAAATGTATACAGTTTGTTTTTTTATGTTGTTTTGTGTTGTGTGTGTGGCTGTAACTCCACAGTAAATTTTGAGCCACTATAGACTGAGAGCATGTATTGTGCCTGGATTTTCTTTTGGAATCTTCAATTGAGCGGAAAGAACCTACGATTCTAACTAATGTTCTCAGAGCCCCTCTCCCCTTTTATAATGGATTTACGCGTTCTTAACGGATTTCTACACTACAAAAGAAACATCCCTGTCAAATTTTAAGCCTGTAGGGTGAGACGTTTGAGAAAAATAATGGTAGCGTGATATTTATTAATTTCATTATTTGGTTCATTTACATCACAGCTATTAATTACAGTATATACATTGAAGTTATTATAAATATTGTTTAGATCATTAGATTCCGGAATTGATGTTGGTGAGAGAGGAGATCGCATCCATTCTCAGCGAAGTTTCCCAGCTGCCTTCTCTAGGGTCTCGGGATGGTAGCGGTCGGCCTTCTTATTCTCGAGTTACATTCGGTTCGTAGGCGGGGGGTTCTCATGGCGTCAAAGGTTGCCATGGCGATAACCAAAGACAAGACCTCGCTATATTTTAAGGGTGCACGAGTTCAAAGATGTCGTTATCCTATCCACAAAAAAGAAGCCGACTTTCAGCTGTATCGGAAAAACGTCACAAGGGGTATAACAGTTCTGGAGATCTCGTTATAAAGGAATGAATAAGAGGCTTTCCTCTTGTATGTATATAGATTAGAGACAAATTGCATCTATTGTTTTCAATATTAAAATTAGTTTCCAGTATAAAACATTTAGTTTATCATATATAGTCGCGTTTATTTTTTTAATATATAACTTATACTAATGCAAGAGCTCAAATCTCAAAAAAAAAGTTTAAGATGCTTTAAAATAGATTTAAACCGAAATCTTAAAGTGAACTAAATAATTTGAGTATCCGTCGTGATATTTTCAAACTTATATTTTGTATATGTGAGCTAAATTTTCATATTTTATATTTATGTGCCACAAAAAAACACTCCCTTATATTTTTCACTCATGAATATAAACAACAACATGCATAAAGAGCTCTTTTAGTACTTTAAATATCATAAAAGAATCCATTAGTACTACACTCTGACAAAAACAAGTCAATATCAATTTACTTTTGAAAGCTAAACTATTATATGCATACCAAAACTGTTGACTGATTAGACATGCAATTTTTTGAAATACTTGTTACTTAAGAGATTACTTATAATTAAACTAATTGCAGATTCTTGATATTTCTCAACATTAGTTTTCAAACAGATGTAACAAAATGTGTTGTTTATGAGTAATATGTCCACAAGTAATACTGAGAAAGAGGATATCCATGCTCTAATGGAGTGGAAAGAAGATTATCCAGCTTTTATGCCTGAGAGAAAGAGGTAAGAAGATGCGTGTTGGAGTGGGAAAAGATAGAGGATACCCAAAGAACAATAGGGTCTTTATCGCTAATGGACATAGTGAGTGAAAATGTTTTGAGCTCAAATAGATCTGGGAATGGGAACCCGTCCAGTTTCCTTTGAGATTGGAAGGAGGAAATTTAGTTTGGCATGTCAGATATTTCAATTTGTAGAACTTTCTATCAGTTAGTGAGAGTGTTTTCAAAGTATGTGAGAGAGAGATGGAAACAGAATAAAAAAGTAGATTTTTTAAAAATATTTAAGAAGTTCTTTTTGAATTTCTCTCTCTCTGAAAGATATAAAGGGCGTTTTTTGAGAGGTATAGAATTTTAAATTGCAAAATAAAACAACGATGTATTATTCGATTGACATGAATTTTTTTTTATTCGAAAGATAATCTTGTGGCATTACATTTTAAATATGATTTCTGGCATAGGACTGAAACGGCTGGCTCGGATGTAGTTCAATCTGGAAGTCCAATTTTCGATGACTTTTTCCAACATTTGTGGCCGTATATCGGCAATAACACGGCGAATGTTGTCTTCCAAATGGTCAAGCGTTTGTGTCTTATCCGCATAGACCAACGACTTTACATAGCCCCACAGAAAATAGTCTAGCGGTGTTAAATCACAAGATCTTGGAGGCCAATTCACAGGTCCAAAACGTGAAATTAGGCAGTCACCCAACGTGTCTTTCAATAAATCGATTGTGGCACGAGCTGTGTGACATGTTGCGCCGTCTTGTTGGAACCACAGCTCCTGGACATCATGATTGTTCAACTCAGGAATGAAAAAGTTAGTAATCATGGCTCTATACCGATTTACCATTGACTGTAACGTTGTGGCCTTCATCGTTTTTGAAGAAGTACGGAGCAATGATTCCACCAGCCCATAAAGCGCACCAAACAGTCAGTTTTTCTGGATATAACGGTGTTTGGACATACACTTGTGGATTAGCTTCACTCCAAATGCGGCATTTTTGTTTGTTGACGTAGCCATTCAAATAGAAGTGCGCTTCATCGCTAAACAAAATTCGATTATGAATATCGACCATTATTTTCGAAATAAAAATGCACAATTTGAAAGCGTTGTTCAGGCGTGAGTCTATTCATGATGAATTGCCAAACCAAACTGAGAATAAATCACTTGACAGCTGTTAAATCGGTCGCCATCTTGGAAAGTAATGCCAACTTAAACTTCTATACCTGAAAAAAAAATACTCTATATATATATATATATATATATAAATAAATATATATAATATATATAAATATACTGTAATATCTGGCGTGTAACGCGCACTTTTAACATAAACAAGTAAAACAAAAAAAAAAGTTTTAAGTCAATTCCTACTCGAGTCAAAAAAGAAAAATTTTGTTTTAGTTACTTCTTATTAAATAACTGCAATTAATACAAATATGCATATACATAGGACAGAATCACACTACTAAGTGACAAAATAAAAAGCGATTTTCCTTGCAATTTTCCATTTTCCTTTCTATATAGGATGTTGGACTATTATTTTTGTTTGTTACTATTTATTAATTAAATATAATTATTCTAACAAAATAGTACATTAAAAAAGAAATCCCATTCTCAAAAATTAGGCCATCCCGGGTGGGTTTCGAAACGCATGACCTTTGGATTAGAAGTCCAATGCGCTATCCATTGCGCTACAGGGATGTAACGAACGATTTTCTTTTTATATATGTTGTTGCGCTATTATTTTTGTTTGTTGCTATTTATTCATTAATTAATGAATTAATTTTTGAAAAAGCTGTATTAACATCAAATGTCATCCACTACAGGTTAAAATAAATGTATCTGAACTTGAATGGATGAATAAAAAGTATGTTATTAATGATTGAAAATTTGAACAAGATATATATATATATATATACTAGAGGACCCGACAGACGTTGTCCTGTACACACATCTTAAATTCAAAAATTCGAAATTTTTATGAATAAGCTTTAACAATCTGGACCGTTTTGAGTAAAATTTGACTAAAATTTCAAACACTAATTACATCTGAATGTAATAATTTAATTAACACACGATTTATTTCAACAAAATAATAACACGAAGTGACAAAATATTTTCCTGAAATAATCACAGCACCAACTGTCGGGACAAACCTGAATTATAATAAAAGATTTTTGAATATTCAATACTGAAATCGTAGCGCAGTCTGCCGGATCCAATGTAAAACATTCCAAGATCAACAATTTATAAATAAAAAATTAATTAAATAAACATTTCTAAGACGAATTATATATCTACACCATTCTCGAGTCCACTGGAACAGACAAAAACTTTCATCAAAATCAGTCCAGCCGATTAGGAGGAGTTCAGTTACATACACACACACAGAAGAATTACATATATAAAGAATATTTGAAAATATATTAACTAAAAACGCTAAAAAGCGTGAATCGCGCGTCTGCATTTTCGTAACAATAAAGACCGGGTTTGGCCAGTTTGGATGAACAGTACGACGTTAATATTCAATCAATCAATCATTGGCCAGTTTGGCTGAAAATCAATTTTCGACGCCAACTTACGTCTTATTAGCTCTCGATCTCTATACATATTTTATTTGTTTGTTTGTTTATTTATTTATTTATCTTGGTGGAAGTTTCAATTGTTAATAAAATACATTTAAAGCGCTCAATTGAGCTGAAATGTAATGTACATGATTATTTTGGATGACAATACAATAATTTAATTATAATTAATAAAAATTAATTGATTAAAACTAATTATTTAAAAAATTACAAATGCAGCCACATTGGCGACTTATGACAAAATTTGCACAAAGGTTTTTTTTTTCTCACGTGTTAACGCATTCTGTTGAAAGGAAATTTTATATACACGATTGTTTTGGATGACAATACGATACTTTAATGATAATTAATAAAAATGAATTGCCACTTAATGTTGTGATTCTGTCCTATGTATATACATATTTATATTAATTGTAACTATTTAATAAAAAGTATCTAAAATAAAATTTTTCTTGGTTGATCTAAGAAGGAATTGATTTTAAAATTTTTTTTTATATTACTTGTTTATTACAATAGCGTTGTTACAACAATGCAGGTGAATGTTGAGTTGTATTTTTTGAATGTGTTTAATTAATATCTTTTTAACTAATTGCGATATCGGACCAAATAGTGAATCTAAACCATTCTCGAATTTACCACCACAAAAAGTTTCATCGAAATCGGTCCAGCCATTTAGGAGGAGTTTAGTGACAAACACACGCACAGAAGATTTATATATATATATATATATATATATATATATAGGGAGAATGTGAATTAATAGTAGGAATTGAAAAAGGGTGAACACAGAAAAAAATTTGATTTCTGCATATATACAGTTTATTTAAAGGAAATCACATACCTTATGAACTTAAACGATTGTAGTTCTAGAAGTGCACTATTTTTTTCCAAATCTTGGAATAATACTGCGAATAAATAACTTTAAAACATAAGTAATGCGCACGTACACTTCAGGTTTCTTCGTAAAAAGGGGGTGCGTGTTATACGGCGAACATACCTAAAAAGTAAAAATTGCAACTGGAAAGTTCAGATGCGCGTTATACGCCGTATTTTACGGTACATTAAAGTGGATGAGAAGAAAAACAAATTTCTGAATTTTAAAACCTATCTCTGTGTAAAAGATTTTCTCTTGTATGTTGATGAAGGCGAAAATAAAATTTTAAAATTTTTACAAGGGTAAGGAAGTTTATCTATTTGAGCTTTTTTATAGTAAAAGCTCAAAGTAATTTTTGCTAAAGAAAAAAAAACAGGCATTTAATTACTTTTTAACACTTGTTGTGATGAAAGGACACTTATTAAATAGTTACACGAAAAAAAGCCTAAAATATACATTTGACAGTTTCTTCCTCATTAAATTTTTTTAAAAAATTCTATTGTCGAAATGACAGTGCATGATAAAGCGGAACTTGGAGAATATGAACGTCACACTATACAGTCGGGGTGAGCATTAAGTCGATCGCGATCGACCGGTGGACCGCCAAGACATTTTGGGGTGACCGCCTTCACATAAAATCTTAGACGCGCATACTAAAAGAAACACAGGTGGTTACCAAGATAATGAAAACACCCGTGAATAAAACTCCGAACCAAATATGAGAGACGTTTTCAAGAATTTACTAGGCTAGAATCCCACAAAAGTTGCATTCATGGGTTATTCATTTGGCAATGTTGATGTGAAAAATATAACTAAATATACACTAGCTAGAAAAGTCTGCGTTCACGTACTATTGCTTACATGAACAATGAAAAAAAGTTTAAAAACTGGAATTTAAAAAACAAATTTTAATTAGATTTCATTTAGTTCATTTTAAGTATTCAGAATAACAGAATAAGTTAATTTGGTTTGCCTTCATAAATTTTAAAATAAAGACTGGTTTGTAACGATACTAACAAAATCAAGTAGAAAAGGTCTGCGTTCACTGTGTTAGTGTAGTAACTATAAAAATTATTTAAAAAGAGAATAATGAGCGATTTAGTGGCTGGTTGGTTAATTTCATCATTTGTGAACCTCCTGAAGTCGTTTCGGCATTGAACTAAAAAATCTTGGGGTTTTTTCAGCACTTATCTTTTCCATTGGTCCTTAAGAACACTCTTCAGCATATCCTTGCTAGATACATTGTGTTGACGAATCCTGCGCTCTAACAAATCTCAGAGGTGTTCTGTAGGATTCAGATCAGAGGACTGTAGGGTCATGTGCAGTTGATTTAGGACATTATACAAGAGCCAAATTTCACAATCTCAGCGGTGTGCTTAGAATCGTTGTCGTGTTGAAAACGAAACGATTATCCTAAGCCGAGTTTTGCGGCACTTTCCTTTAAATTGTTTTTTAGGACATCAAAGTAATCATATTTGTTCATAATTGATTATATATACTCCAACTTGCCAACATCATTGCTCGCCATGCACCCCCACACCATGACTCCACCGCCGCCGTGCTTTACCGTAGGTACTAAATGCTCTTCTTGAAGCGCTGTGCAAGGTTTTCTCCAGACTAATTTACAACCTTTTATGCCGAAGATACAAAATTTGCCCTCGTCAGAGAATATCACAGTCCTCCAGAACTCAAGAGGCTTATGTATATGATCTTTTTCAAAAGCTATCCGCTTACGCCGGTTGGTCATTGAAATATAAGGCTTTCTGCGAACCACTCGACTACGGTATCCGGCCTTTTTCAAGATGTTTCTTGCAGCATCCGCCCAAATATATATATTTTTGTTAAACTGCTCGTGAATGTCTGTTGCTATTTCAGTTGAAGACAAACACGGATTTTTTTCACCATTGATGTCATACTTCGTTTTACTCTGATTGTGAGTTTAGATGGACGACTTAAAAGAGGTTTGGAAGTGTAAACTCTTGTAGGTTTAAAGTTATAAATAACATGCTGGATAGATGAATACTGCCATCCAACGGATCTGGCTATATCTCGATGACTTTTTCCATCTTTTCACATTTTCACATTGATTTTACGCTCACTGGTACTAATTTCCTTCCTTTTATTTTCCATGTCCTTGAATTGCTTCGTCTCTCACAAAAACGTAACAAAAATTTCGTCACAATTTTCTTAAGCTATTTTACTTGATAATTAAATGCAAAAATTATGTTGCCTGTTGATACAAATTCCAAGAACCAAGAATATTCAAATAGTGAACGTAGACTTTTTCTGCCTATTTGTGTGTTTTGCTACAAAGATCCCGTTATCCTAAGTAGTTTTAATTCAAAATTAACGAATTCTTGCATGCTCAATATTTAAATAATAGTTAACAAATTCGTGGAATTTTGTTTGAAAAAAAAACTAAATTTATATTTAATTTTACCTTTGCTATATGATTTCTTATGGGTGAACGCACACTTTTTCTAGCAAGGGTATGTTACATGGTTTCTTTGTCTCTCGATGAAAACGAAGCTTTTCTCTTTCAAAAGGACGTTATTTGTAAAGAATAACTCTTACAATCTATTGGTCGAAGTAAAGTATCCCAATTTAAAAAAAACTGCAATTCATTTAACATCGTTCTTTCGCTCTACCTACCTGTGAGAATCTACATTTTCTCTCAACGAAGAATATAATTAAAACAACATATTCCTGTTTCCCAGACGACCTCTTAGAATCCAGTGTAAGATTAGCAGTTAGTAATAATATACTGAGGTATTCAATATTGGGGCAGATAATACGAAGACTAAGTCATCCATTGAGACTATAGCTATAAAAACTATAATTTTAATGAAAAATTACTTAATTTGTGATGTATTGTGAATTGTTTGAAAATGCATCATTTGATATTAAATTTATAGGTATAATTATTGTTTGTAAAGGGTGCTTTTTTAGAGGCATAGAACTTTAAATTGCAAAATAAAACAACGATGTATTATTCGATTGACATGAATTTTTTTTATTCGAAAGATAATCTTGTGGCATTACATTTTAAATATGATTTCTGGCATATGACTGCCACGGCCGGCTCGGATGTAGTCCAATCTGGACGTCCAATTTTCGATGACTTTTTCCAACATTTGTGGCCGTATATCGGCAATAACACGGCGAATGTTATCTTCCAAATGGTCAAGCGTTTGTGGCTTATCCGCATAGACCAATGACTTTACATAGCCCCACGGAAAATA